ACCCTTAAAATGTCTTATCCTTATTTTAATATTCCAGTTACCATCATTCTAATAGAGTTATTTTATGTTTAAACTATCAAAAGATCCTAATCCAACATTTTCTCCATCCCTAATGCCTTCCTATTCTGGTTGATCATCCTACTGACTCAGCCTCACGCTGCTCACATTGTGTCACTCTCCTGGAGAAAAGCCTTGACTTGCTCTCCCTTACCAAGTAAATAAATCCAAAATCCTTAGTGTAGTATATGAATCTTTCACCTACCACACCTCTCCTATGTCCTCTCCCCTCAACATCTAACTTAAGTTTCAAGTCTATTCCAATATGTGATTTCCTCCACTCCAACCCAGTTTATTTACTATTTGTTGAATAAACCCTAAGCTTTGTCATCCTCTTTCCCATATTTTCCTTCTCTTTAACCATTCCCACCATTTCTTCACTTTCAAACCGTTCCTATTCTTTAAGTTACAGAGTAAGCTGCACCTCTTTCACCAGGCCTTGCTGCTTGATCCAGATGACATGAACATCTTTGTAATTCCACAGTACTCTATCGTATTGGTGGTAATGGTTTACCATTATTTTCCTTTTTATCTTTTCCATAAAGGATAAAAGAATCTATTTCCATGAAAGAATCTATTTCCCAAATATAAAATGAAATCTGTTTGAGAGGAGAACATGCCTTGCAAATACTTTTTTATGTACTTCCTACAAAACAAGCAGCATGGAGCACGTAAGAGCTCATGAAGAAATCTATAAGGAAAGAGAGTGGCAGTAATCTCATTTATTCCAATCCCTTCTTTTTTTACGTGTATCTCTTTGATGTTTTCCTACCTTAACTAGAGAACTTTTAGCAAATTTTTTTTTGTATTATAAATATGACAAAGAGTTACATAAACAAATGATATCTAGAAATATCATAGACAGGAGTCAAGATTAATAATAAATATTATTATTATAAAAAATTAACAACTTCAAAGGGCAACTATGAAGTCATAACAATAAAGTGGGAAGAAGATAACCAAAACAATAAATGTGGTTTAAGAAATTTAATAAATGCCACTATATAAATATTTGAATATTGGCAGACAAAAACACTTACGCCTGCAAAATCTAACCCAATTAAAATATAAATTAACTCCTAGATTTCAAAATAATTTCATGAGGATGAACTAAAGAAACTACGGCGCCTACTCACAGACCAATAATCACTTAAAAATACAATACTTACCACCCTATCATATCCAGGTGCTTCTGTGTTTGATATAATTAAGTTTTGTTTAGTTAAATCTTCAGGAAAACGCTTTCCTCTTCTGATACCAACAGCTCCACATACTAAAGTTAGCAATACACCTGCGTTTAATTAAAAAAAAAAAAAAAGTTTAATATACATAGAATAAAATAACTATCTTTTATTTCTTATGAATTAAAGGTCACAGGAGGAATATAAAGCTAATAAGCATGTTGTCCCATGAATCACCTTGGCCTTTCTAAATTAGGAGGTCATGATTTAGCTTAGATTTTAAAATTTGAAGTAATCATATGTATGTTTAGCTTCTGTCTCTGAGAGTTTGAATTTTGCCCATCATGTTAAAGGATTTAGAATTATGAGTTAAACAGTATGTAAAAGACAAAGCAAAACAAAATCTAAAAAAGACGTTTAAGAAAAAGACTTTAACAAGATTTACTGACTCCCAAAATGATGGCTTGCCTATATGAAAATATGACAAAACGGACTTTTCCTCAGAATAAATTCACCTTCAGCTATCGTAATTGAACCAGTTTGTATCCTGTCCATTTAGAATTTTAATTCCATATCAAGATTGTGGGAGATTGAAACTATATGATAATAACACTAACAACAATTCTTCTCAATGGCCTACAAGACCCTACTCCAGGGATCAGCAAACTACAGACCCAAATCCAGCCCTTCACTTGTTTCTGTATGTCCTGTGAGCTAAGAATTTTTTTACATTTTTAAATGACTAAAATAATTCAAAAGAATAAGAATATTTCCATATGAAAATTATATGAGATTCCAATTTCAGTGTCCTTAAATAAAGTTTTATTGAAACACAGCTACATTCACCATTTACATATTTTCTAAGAATGTTTTTTCCCTAAACGGCAGATTCGATTAGTTACAACCGAGTCTGCTTGGCCTGCTAAGCTTAAAATACCTATATCTTATCCTTTACAGAAAATATGTGCCAATATCTGCCTGCTCTCTGTGGCCCCTTCTTATCTTTATGGTTCAGTTTCCTAATCCCCTCGCCCTCATCCACTTCCCTCTGGTCACACTGGTCTTACTGCCATTCCTTGATTTATCCAGGCATACTGCAATCTTAGGGTCTTTGCACTGACTGTCCCTTCCAACTGCAAGCTCTTCCTTCAGGTATTCCACATGTCTGACTCTCTCTTCTCTTCCAAAAATCAACCACCACCTTCTCAGTTAGGCCTAACATATATAAAATTGAAAGTTGTAATCACCACCACCAATCCCCCACCCTACAGCACTACTGATGCTATTTATTGTGCTTGATTTTTTTCCCTTCATAGCGCTTAACTTATTAGTTTACTGTGACAAAGTCAGAGTTGTTTGTTTTTGTCTGCTGTGTTCACTGATGAATCCCAAACACCTAGAATAGTTTCTGGCACTGAAAGTATTCAATATGCATTTATTTTGTTGAGTTGATGAATAATAACAAACATTTATTGGAAACTTACCATGAACGATTCTAAGCCCTTCACATGCACTAACTCATTTCAGCTTCAGTGCTACACCATGAAGTAGGTTACTCTAAGTATCCCCTTTTACCGATAAAGAAGCTGAAGCCCAAGGTTAAATGGCTTACAAGTGTTGGAGCTGGGGTGCAAACCCAAAAGACCTGGCTCCAGAGTCTAGGCTTTTAACTACTACTCTTATCAGAAAGCAAATGAAAAACAGTTAAACTAGCCTGGAGGATTCGACGGAAATGAAAAGAATAAAAAATGTGGTAACATTGGGAACTACATAATTGGAGGTTAACAGAACTCAGAATAGACAGGATATACCTAAGAAGGGATATTACTGCAATCTGAACAGCTTCCATAAATAAGTCTGTGGCTCAATGGTGAGGAGAAAGCACGAAATGGAAGTGGTTTTTAGAGGACTTTCATATGAAAGACGTTTTAGATTGTTCTGCTTAGCCCTAAAAGCAGTAACACGAGGACCAAGAAATTAAAGCCATACAATGATCGATGTGGTTCAGTCTAAGGAATCTTCAACAGTTCTGTCCAAGGACGAAATATTTTATCTCAAGAAGGATCTATTTCCCTTTCAGAAAATATTCCATCAGAATTTAGATAATAATACAAAAGAAATTTGTAAAGGGGATTCAAACCTGGTGGATGATTGGACAAGGTTACTTTTTAAAGATCTTTCCAGCTCTCGGATCTTTTATTCGGCATTTTAACTTCAAGTAAATAAAAGGACTTACAAGATAACAATGCTACCCCCAGTAATATTGCCAGGATCGCCCATTCTCCAAGCACTACTCCACTCCTGGAAGCTGCTTTACATTGACTTGGATGAACACAATCACATAGATTAATTCTCAAGGTTTTTGTGGCAGATTGACCTGCTCTGTCTTTTACAGTAACAGGAACATCATATTCTTGAAAGTAAGCATTATTCCGATACGAAAGACGGGCAGCTGTATCTGAAAAAAAATAATAATAATAGTAATTTAATTTTTAATGATCATTTAGTCCTCCCTTGGTATTTGTGGAAACCCTGGTGGTGAAGCGGTTAGGAGTTTGGCTGCTAACCAAAAGGTTGGCAGTTCGAATCCACCAGGCACTCTTTGGAAACCCTATGGAGCAGTTCTGCTCTGTCCTAAAGGGTCACTATGAGTCGGAATCAACTTGACAGCAACGGGTTTGTTTTGTTTTTTTTTTAGTATTTGTTTCATCACACCTGTTTTTAAAGGTAGGATTCTCAAGGTACTGCCTGCAATATGGAAATGAATATAAATAGAGAACTACCTTCAATCTTTTCAAGCACTAATATTATCTTATACATGTTACATTCGTTATACATCTTTAGAAGAAAGGCTTAAAGAAATAATGTGGCACTGAAGTGACCCAGTGGCATTTCAACAACATTCAATGTTCCCATAGCAATACAAACTAATGATGCTAGATTGGCTTTTAGCATATACTGCAAGCACTTTGCTACAGTATCAGTTTATGATACTCATAAAGAATTAACACCTACAGGCACATACAAAGGATGTCTTAAGTTCAGATTCCCATCCACTCACTTTCCAATACCTGCCCATTATCCTTAGGGATGATGTAATTTTTCAAAGCACAACAGACCTTTTATAATTAATGCCTTACCTCTGGAAGCAATCACAACATTAGAAAGCTAATTTATGTCAGCTAATTATAAGGCTTATGCAACAACAGACATATCTATATCATAACAATACATTTTTGTCAGCTGAGCTTTTTTCCCCAATAGTCTTGATATCTTATTTCATTGGCTTTATTCTCAACTGACCAAAAGCTCCATAGACTTTCAATGGCAAATACATCCATCTGCAGTTTTTGCAATGAATTAAGTGAAATGAAAAAGTAGCATAATGCACATTCTGAAAGTCATCTGTAATTTCTAACAAGCCTTGTTTAAATGCACAGTTACAGCTAAAACTAATAAAAATAGCCATAACCCTTCACTGGAGAATTCTACAAAACATTCACAGAAGAGCTGGTACCAGTTCTACTCAAGCTATTTCAGAGCATAGAAAAGGAAGCAACACTTCCAAATTCATTCTATGAAGCC